CTTCTTAATAGTGGTGTTAACCAAACAACTTTTTGCTCTCAAATTCATTCCTGCAAAGTCATTTTTGCAAGTCCTTTATACTGAAAGGACTTTTAGTATCAGGAAGCCCCTCCAAACACAACCTTGAATATGTTATATAGTATTATTATATAGAGAACGAAGTAGGATAGATTTAGTTAAATTAGAGAATAGGAAGGAAAACATGAAAAAAAGTTGGAAGGTTAATTAAGGAAATGTTTGATTAAAGAATATATATCCTGTTAAATCCTGTCAAATCTTGGCTTTTTAGACTAGATTTGAAACGCAATTAAAACGGTATTTGAAATCTTATAATTATCAAATCCCTTTTGTAATTCCATGGTTCCAAACAAGGCAAATCCTGTTTTCAAATATTCCATCAAATCCAGCATTCTAAACAAAGTGTAATTCTAAGTTTACTAAAAACGCTAACCCTAGAAATAAAGGCCGAGAGACCAAAAGAAAAGGAATGTACCTGAAAATGTCCTGAAGAAGAGGAGAAGAAAGCTCTTACTGCTTGTCCTGCTGCGGCGAATGTGTCTTGTGAAGGGAACGATGAAATGCCCTTATGGCTTTGTTTGGAATCAATTATTTTAGGATTTGGAAAAGGAATCTGAATTGGAATAAGAATTGGAATTAAAATGAAATTCTATTTATATGCATGCATGTATCCAGTCTCCATGCGGTGCATGCACTGGCTCATTCCACTTAAGTTTAAAATCTCTAAGGGCCCGAATCAGCTTACATACCACCTTTCCATGCACACAACCACACCGAATCATCTGTTCATGGTCCTGATATGAGGCACACCGAAGTGTTGTGTGCCTTTTTGTAATAGCGCATATAGTTACACATATAATTAATTTAAAATAATAAAAATTAATTCCAAATAAATTCCAAAATATTCCAAAAAATACAAAACAAACTCTAAAAATATTCCTAAAAATCTAGAAAAATTCCAAAAATTCAACCTTTAACTTGATTTTAAAATATATACAACACCTGTATATTCAATTAAAATCCGATAATCCAAAAATATCAAATATAATAATTTATACTTTTAATTATTCTAATCGAACCATGATTTTAAATAAATAAAATTAACTTAATATTTTTTATTAATTCGTTTTAACCATGATTTAAATTAATAAATTTAATCTAAAACCATGATACTCGGGTGAAATCTTTTTGAGTTTTAAGAGAAAAGATAAATTATTATCCCGCTCCTCTAGATTCCCATTACCACCGTTTGGATTCAGGAGATCTTGTCGTGATAAGTTCTGTTGAACCGGTGGACTCGTTGGAACAAGATGTTACAGGAACGCTGCATTTTGCTAGATCAACTAGTCTATACCCTGATTTAGAGTTTAAACCTGTAGTTCCAATGCTGCAAGCAATTCCTAGTCGTTTAGGACGTCTGGGTGTTCACCCGACCTTTCCCTTTGACCGAATCCCTGCAACGATGTTCCTTCTCCGGTAACCATACCGGATTGCAAACACATATACCCAACTGAAAAACTTATAGATTTAAGGGAATTGTCGTTCCCACAGACAGCACCAACTGTTGGGGTTGAAATCTGTGCGGTTTGGTACGACACCGTTTCCTGTAAAATAAAAACGGCTGAGTCAGGCACCGGGATGGTACTGGCCGATGACCCTCCGACGATCAAGTTAGTGGGGGGGTTTAGAGATGGAGAATTAAATGCTGAAATAGGATTTCTTGTGTCATGTCTCATCCATGGTTCCCTTGTATTTATGGTGTTTTGGTCAATATAATCGATACAGGCTGTTGAGTGTATCTCGCTTGTAGAGATTCGGTTTATCATTAATAACAACTTTCATAGTCGTCGTTAATTGAATGTCGTCATCCCTATCGCAGACCCGTTATCAAACGGAAGTTGAAGAGATCTAGCGGTTGATCAACACTTAGTTACTTCTATCATTAAGTCAAAGTACAAGACTTCACCCTTGGAGTTTGGTGGGAGAAGTGTTTGGAAAGTGATTAGTGGAAGAAAGGTGGTGGTTTCGGTGAGGAAGCTCGCAGCAAAGCTTTGGAACCACTGGCCACAACCGTTGTTGGCAACTTTTAACATTGAATCACAACCACTGGCAATTCCATCCAGTCACAACCATTACTGTCAATAAGCACTGCCAATGGATCTGCCTTCACGTTGCTGTTAACTGTCATTTTCATAGTTGTATAATCACAACCGGCAAGCTTTTTGCTTAACCATCATTGTCGATGACTAGTTCACTTGTAACCCTTATCTTTCTCTCACTACTATATTAACAAAATTTATTATTGAAAAAAGTAAGTGTGCAAATGAGCTCCAATCAAGCTAAGCCAAGTTCAAGTTTTACTGAGAAATCCCGAGTTGAGTTTGAGTTGGATAAGTTGAGCTCGCCTGAAAATGAACTAAGTTAATTTGAACCTCGATTTGAATTTGGCTGGCCTAGTACTAACATCTCAAAGCTTGGTCCCAGCTTGATTCATTTGTGCTCCTAACTTTTTGCATGTATATTTATATACATGTTAAAATAAAGGTAAATATTTAAGTATATATCCATATTTAATTTGTTTCCATGATCAAATACTAAGAAGACACTACAAGAAAAGGAGGCTTTTGGGACGGATTATTTGGGACGGTTCAAAAATTGTCTCAAATGAGCCTAGTTTTTGGGACAATAATATATCCACCGTCCCAAATGAAATATCTACCGTCCCAAATGAGAAAAAAAAATGACCGGGAATATTTTTGGTGGGAAAATGAGGCTCTTGGGACAGATCATTTGGGACAGCTTAATAATTGTCTCAAATGATCCTGCTTTTTTGGGACGCCAACATACTTACTGTCCCAAATGAGCTAAAAAATAATCGGGAATTATTTTGGTGGGAAATTTTGGCTGCTGGGAAATTTTGGCGCTTGATTTCCTCCCTCCCTAATTCCAATTTTCCCATGTGCAAAATATTAAAAAATTTCCATACTACACCGTTTTGGGTATTTGTAAAGTTGTAAACCCACTCTTTATCTCTGTCATTCTCATTTCTATCACTATATAACTTAACCTAAACATTTATCATCTATCTACTCTCTGTACAGCAGACGCCGCACCGGCCAGTTGCAATTATCTCACGTTGGCCAGTTCGGCTTCTCATCTCTCTCCCTCATATACTTTCTCTGTACAACCGACGACGCCGCACCAGTTGCAGCTACTTCATGCGGGTTCGGCTTGCCACACTCTTCTCGGCGTGAAGCGATACACATACGAAAAACCTCTCTCGTGTCAATCGGAGCTAAGAAGCATAGTGATCGGAGGATCGATTGAATTTGGAAGGTCTGCTTTTTTGCTGCTTCTAATCTCTCTCGTGTCAATCAGAGCTCACTCTCTCTATCTCTCGATCGGTGATTGAAATCGACAATTATCCGTAAGTTTTTGCAATCAATCGTATGGTTATTGTGTGCGTAATTTCTTTAATGGCGTCCACACTTTTGATAAATTTTCCCTAATTTTCAAATCATGAATCATATGTGTGTTTTTGAGAATTCTACACTGGTGGATTTAGATCTTATTGGGATTTGGGGCACACAAACTTTTATGCCTATATTTGTATTATATATGTTTGTATGCAGTACTTGTGTCAACATTGGTGCTCTGATTAATTATGATATAGAGTAAGAAATTTATATAAACATAGTTATATGATCTACTCCAGTTGTCTGGTTGTTTGCTAGAATCATCATTAGGCGAGCTTGATATGGCTGGACTGGTTGGTTTAGAGGCAAGCTGTTGATTGGTAATTTTTAAAGGTGGTTCTGATTTAGTGGTTCCTAGAGAGTCTTCATTTTGGATGATAATTTTTAATTTTTGAAGAATTAGTTTAAGATTTCCCAAGAATATAAAGCTTCCAACCCACAATTATTATTATTATTATTATTATTATTATTATTATTATTATCACTATTATTATTTCTTCCTGTGAATCTGATCTTTCTATTGAATATCTGATCATGGGCTAAAATAAAGACTCAGATTTCTCATAATTAACCGTTACCAGTTAGGAACGATACCGGGCAAGTGTAGCCTTAGGAACTTGGCTTAAACTACCTAATTTCTTAAAAGGTTAGCGTAAGTTTTCAAATCATGAACAATGTGTCAAATAAATTTTTGTTGGACCCTGATAATTCATGGAAAAATGAAGTGTTTTGACTCTTAATGTGTTGGAACAGAAATAACAAAAATATAGAATGGGTATTCTGCTTACAGCTTTAATTTAATGTCTGACTGCTAGTTTTTGAGCCTTCTCATCCTTGGACAAGCCCTTTCCCACCTAAAATCATCAAGTCTTGTATTAATACTAAAAAATATATAAAATAAAATGTACTGAGAGAATATGTAGGTGGTTATATAATCTACTGTGGTCTTGGTCAATATTCAAAACAAGAGAAGTCCTGATTTTCTGTCAAAGTAATTTTTACTTTTATGTTTCTAGAAACCAAATTCCCCCCATTGTTCTTATTGATTTGTACATCAGAGAGGTGCTTATTCTTGATCTAGATTAATCTCATTTCCAGCATTTATGTTTCTTGTCTGTATATCTTGGTAATTAAAGTTGTTTATAAAAATGAAACCGATTGAACTGTGATGTTTTCTCATGTATTCTTACTAACATGTAGTGACTATATTTTCTGACAGGCCTTCCAGTTATTGCCATAGGTGTAGGATTCAGCACATGTGATAAAGCTTCTGTAAGGATTATTGTTTTCCCCCCAAATTCCCTTTGACATTCATAATTATGCAATGTATGCATGTATATTCTTAGAGACTTGTTTTACTCTCTCTTTATTGTTTCAGTGTTCTCAATGAGGTCTCTCTCTCTCTCCTTTCTTTTTTATTTTATTTATGTATTTAATTTGTGTTTATATTCAACTTGCATTAATTATATTATATCTATACTTGAATTTATTTATTTTACCAGTTACATGGATAAGGCTTGGATTCATCATCACACCAGGGGTAGTAAAGAGTATCATAAAGGCATAAGAGACTTCATTAAGTTTGCTAAAAGACATACAGATGGGCTAGGTAGGATCAAATGTCCGTGTCGTCGCTGTAAAAATGGTGACTATATTGCAATTGAGGAGGTTGAGACTCATCTATATAAGTGTGGGATGTACAAGGAGTATACTAATTGGATATGGCATGGGGAGGCTAATGTTAACACCACTGCTAATGTTAATGCAGAAGCTAATGTTAATGCCGAACATGGGGATCATGCTAATGATGAAGGTAGAAATGAAGACAATGTATTTGATTTGTTGGATAATGTACGGATGGGTATGTTCACCAATGTAGAACAACAAGAAGATTCGCCTGAAGTTGATATAGGAGGAAGTTTTGATAGATTGCTAAATGACGCACAATGCGAATTGTGGCCAGGTTGTAAAAAACAATCTAAGTTGTCAGCAATTTTGAAGTTGTTCCATGTGAAAGTTACAAGCCGAATGACCAACAAATGTTTTGACATGTTGCTTAAGGTGCTAAAGGAATTGCTTCCCGATGACAACACGTTGCCAAAGTCCTATTATGAGACTAAAACCTTGTTGCGTGATTTAGGTCTTGGATATGAACCGATCCATGCATGTAAAAATGATTGTACTTTATTCTGGAAGGAGAATGAAGGTAAAGAATGTTGTCCACAATGTGGTGAGTCGAGGTATAAGTCTCGAGAAGGTAAAGGAAAAAAGATTCCTCAAAAAGTTCTTCGGTACTTTCCTTTAAAACAAAGGCTTCAATGGTTGTTTATGCATAGGGATACAGCTATAGACATGCGTTGGCACAAGGAGAAACATGTCAAAGAGACAAATTTGTTGAGACATCCAGCCGATTCAAAAGCTTGGGAGGAATTTGACAATAAGAATAGTTGGTTTGCTGCGGATCCTCGTAATGTTCGTCTTGGGTTAGCATGTGATGGATTCAATCCATTTGGTAACATGAGTAATGCTTATAGTGTATGGCCTGTAATTATTGTGCCCTACAATTTGCCACCTTGGATGTGTATGAAGGAACCATATATGTTTATGTCATTACTTATTCCTGGTCCTAAATCACCTGGTAATGACATTGATGTGTATCTGCGACCGTTAATTGATGAGTTAAAAGAATTATGGATAGATGGTGTGATGACATATGATGCCTACAATAAATCAAACTTTAAGCTGCATGCAGGGTTGATTTGGACTATACATGACTTTCCCGCTTATGCAATGGCATCCGGATGGATGACAAAGGGTTTTTTGGCGTGTCCAAATTGTAATAAAGACACATGTTCTTGTTATTTGAGTCACGGGCAGAAGATATGTTATTTGGGAGCTCGTATATTTTTGTCGTCCAATCATGCTTACAGGAAGCGTTTCAAACAATTTAATGGCAAGAAAGAAGACAGAGAGCCACCAAAGCCGTTGACGGGTGATGATATTCTGGAACAATTTAATCTCCTACCCGAGGTTAGATTCGGAAAGGGACCAAACAATAAGAAGCGGACTCGTGAGAAGAAGGAACTTAATTGGACAAAGAAAAGTATATTCTTTGAATTGCCTTATTGGAGAACACTTTTGTTGCGACACAACTTAGATGTTATGCACATAGAGAAAAACATATGTGATAATGTGTTAGGGACATTAATGAACATCGAAGGAAAGACGAAGGACTCATTCAAAAGTCGGTTGGATTTAGAAGCAATGGGAATTAGAAAAGAACTTCATCTTAGGCGTAATGGTGAGAAATTTGAGATGCCACTTGCGCATTACACATTGTCAAAGGATGAAAAAAGGCAATTGTGTGATTGGTTGAAGTTAGTGAAGTTCCCAGATGGCTATGCATCAAACATAAGTCGATGTGTGAATGTCAATGAAGGTAAGATATCTGGATTGAAAAGTCATGATTCGCATGTACTCTTACAGCGTCTCCTCCCTCTAGCTATACGAGGATTGTTGCCCGATGATGTTTGTAATGCGATAACAGAGCTTGGTTTATTTTTTAAGGAGTTGTGTTGTCGGACCCTTAAACTAGATGTCTTAGAGGTATTGGAAAGGGATATTGCTATCATATTATGCAAGTTAGAAATGATATTTCCTCCATCATTTTTTGACATAATGGTGCACTTAGCTCTGCATTTGTCACGCGAGGCCATCATTGCAGGACCTGCACAATATCGATGGATGTACCCTATTGAAAGGTACTATACATTTGTAATACAAAAAAATATTTTGGAAACATTAAACTAGACATCATGATTTCGTAATATTTTAATTTTTATGTAGATTTTTACGTACTCTCAAGTCTTACGTGCGTAATAAAGCACGTCCTGAAGGGTCCATCGCTGAAGCTTATGTGGACAATGAATGCGTCACATTTTGCTCAAGGTTTCTTCAAGGGATTGAGACACGATTCAATCGAGAAGAAAGAAATTACGAGGGCGACTATTGCACCAATTGGTCCACTTTTTCAGAGCTCAGGCAAGTGGTTCGTCCTTTAGGGGCTGGAAGTTTAGAGATACTGGATATTGAAAGCATGCAAAAGGCTAAATTTTACGTGTTAAATAACTGCGCAGAAATTGCTTCATATGTAGTGTAAGTTATATATTCTCTATGTTTTTAATACTTTATTTATAAATTTTGAAATGTATCATAATATCACTTAATTGTTTAGTGCACACAAGGCTGAACTCGAGAATGAAAACAAGGATAATGTACCATTAAGACACGTAAAAGAATTTTCGAGATGGTTGGGAACACGAGTAAGTCCTTAATGTACTTCACATCCCTATTATTTGTTTTAAATGTGGTATCTGTATGCATTTATTTAATGTTCTAATTTTTTTTAATAGATAAAGGAAGAGCGTCATTATCAAGAGTTAGAAATTAGTGATGACCTGTATTCATTAGCTTGTGGACCTGATTTTCGGATAAATCGATATTCTGGTTGCATTGTAAATGGGGTCAGGTTTCATACAAAGGAAAGGGAGAAAAATCGAAAAACTCAGAATAGTGGTGTGTTAGTCAAAACAGAGGATGTTGATTACTATGGTGTCTTGACAGATGTCATTGAGTTACAATATCCTCTTAAGAGACGGGTAATCCTATTCAAATGTGATTGGTTCAACACAAGGACAGGTATTAAGAGGGATACTTATTTCAAGAGTGTAAATGTAGCCCGTAAATGGTATAAAGATGAGCCTTTTGTGTTGGCAAATCAAGCAAAACAAGCCTTTTTTGTCAAAGACACCAAATTACGAGGCACGTGGGAGGTCATTCAAGATATAACACATAGAAGCTCATATGACGTTCCCGAAGTGGAGGATAACAGTAGAGTTGAGGATGGAATGTATGCTACAGCATATCAAGAGGATGAACCATGCATTGTGGATAAGGTTGTTGAGGCGACCAACTTTGACATAGATCCACCAACTTTGAATAGGGATGGCTTGGAGGTTGAAAGTCTTGATGCTGAAATAATTATACAAAGTAATGAAGAATCTCATCATGAAATTGACTATTTTGACAATGATGATGAAATCTTGATTGAAGACAATTCAGATGATGAAGAAGAAGATGATAGTGATTTGGATTAAATGTGAAATATATTTTTTTTTTCTGTTTAAAAATTGAACACATGCAAATTGAAATGTTGAAATTGGTTAAATTTGTCTTCAGTACTTAGCTTTGACTTTTAGAATATGTGTTTTATTTTTTTGAGTTATTATTAATCTCTTTTTCGTTCTTTTAATTATCTATTGTTTGGCTATTTTGATACTTTCCTTTGCCACTTAATTTTTATTTTCTAATTTATTTGTTTCAAAACATGTTATAAAAGATTTGATTCTCTTATTGCTATAATCTACTATGGCGTCCAATCGTCGGTCCTTGAGATCCAACAATGACCTTGCCCAAAACATTAATGCATCTTCCCAGCCACAGCCACAACCAGCAGTGGAAGGTGATTTTTTTATGATCTTTACATTTGCTAAACTTGTCTTTACATTTGAACTTGGTCCCAAAATACTCCTACGTGTTACTCTCATGAATTTATTTTTCAGGTTCATCAAGAAATGTCAAGAGGCGTGGCAAAGCTGTAAACAAAAAAAAAATTGACATTAAAAAGCGCAATGGGGGGATTGTTCCGATTAAGTTTACAGACGGTTATTTGAAACCGGTGGAGGAAAATTCAGATGTTTGGGAGAGAGAGCTTGGGATGATTGCTCGAGAACATATACCACTATGCTATGAGACTTGGCCAGATGTCCCAGACTATCATAAAAAGTTTTGTTACACTAAAATAATGGTATGTCTTGCTTAACCCATATCTTAATTCCTTTTTGCTACTACAACGTATAATTTTTTTTGTAAATTTTTAGTTTATAGTATTTTTAATGACTGTCTTTCAAAGTCAGTCAGCAGGATTAAGTGTTGTTCATTCCTACTTTTGTACACTTATCATATTGGAGTTGTATTGTGAAATTGAGCTACTTTTGTAGTTTTATGTTATTTCAGTTCCAGTATTCATTTCAGATTCAGTTTTATACTGATGCAACATAACCATTTTTTTTGCTAAACAATTAAATTATTATATACTTCTAACTAATAATATTACAATTCATAAGAGAAAAAAATGGTTATGTTGCATCAACATGATCAAGTAAACAAAATTCATTATGATTTTCCTTAGTATAATATCAACCTTCCATTCTAAAAAATAATCAGTTGTTTGAAGTTCCATAGCTTTTGGTCCGCTAGCATCATGATTTCCCTACCCTCAGAGGGAAAGGTCCTTCCCTTTTGGTCCGGTTGTTGGCGAGGAGGGATTTGGACCCCCAACACCATGGTAGGCAGCCACCTGTTATAATCGTCTTAAGTACAGGCCCAACCATCTCAAATGGATCTGTTCTAGTTGTTTTATTTTCCTAACAATTATATCATGATATTATACTACAAAAATGCTGGTTTAAAATGTTGAATATATGTTGTACACATGTCCAAGAGTATCTGAGAAGTAATCGGTATGTGGGGTGAAATTAAAACATTTATTTCAAGTAATGGATTTCTTTAAGAAGTATTGAACACAAATAAGCCTACCCAGGAGCATCCGCGTACGAGACATATAATATATTAATATGACTCCCTTTCAAAAGTATACATGCTTAATAGGATGTAATGGATATGCAACTACATCTCTAGTATCAAATCTATTATATTCGTTAATAGTACACCAAGACATCAGTATAAGTTCGCACACAAACACAAAGGAACCACGCACATTTTCTTAATTACTGAAGAAATAATGCCCAAAATTTTGAAAAATCCAAATCAAATTACTGGAACACTTGCTGAATCTTGAGAATAACAATCCCAATTATACAAAGCCACACAAGACCTGATAAGATAGATCAGTCATTTAACTTTCCAGAACAAAAAATATAAAATATCCTGAAGACCACAAGCTTCAGCACTACACGAGGTAACCATTTTGTCCCTCATCCTCTGATCTTGATTGCGAACAACTTCGCTACCTAAAACTTTGTTCCAACCGAAAGGGGTTGGTTGGGGGGACAGTATGAAGTCTGCTGTCTTAAATCTTAAAATGAGGAGAAAATTCTCACCTTCCATCAATCACAAGATCTTACCTGAATCACTTAGTAATGCAAAGTGCCAAAATATGGAAAAAGATAGTTCAAATTTACCATGACTCACTCATTGACAACTGAAAACTTCCTGCTGAATCCGAGACCACTTAATCCGAAGGACTTCAACATCTCGTTGCCTGTCATATGGACATTTTAAGGTAAGCATATTGATTTCAAAGAAACCCACGTCTACTTCAAGAAAGAGTGATTAAGATGTAGGAAAACAATCTCTAGAAATTTTAGGATGTCAAACAGCTACAGAAGGTTATAAATATCAATGTCTGTCTTCTTCCAGGATTACATTGAAAAAGTAAAATTCTCAACATGTGGTGGATCCATTCAAGTCATATCCTCTATTGCTCATTCAGTATAATCCATGGCAAGCTTTACATTTCCAATTGGCTATCCCACTCCAACTTACAACATTGAGATAGATAGCTTATAGATAAATGGATGGATAGACGTGCGCGCGCGTGTACACATGCATATCTAATGACACTACTATATGTTATGAAAATCTAAAACTCTAACAAAAGAGTCTGAAATTTACTTTTATGCATCTATTTGGTCAGTTATGTTACATTAAATAGGAATCTGATGTTATTTTAGTTGTAGTAGTAAATACAGATATGTAGTTGCTTTGATGGCCATGGCCCCAGAACATTCTTCAGATGTAGGCACCTATGTCACCTTTTAGCGGGTTACAAAGCTGGATGTTTCATTAATATGATAAGTGTACAAAAGTAGCTCAATTTCACGTATAATTTCAAAGTCAGTCAGTAGGATTGCTGCTAATTATACTTCTTCTAAATGACATTTGTTTTTGGCTTATTCATGTGAAAAATAAAGGGGGAATTCGGAATTGACTGCAATATTGATGAAAAAGCAAAGGAGGGTGCAGATCTCTCATTGGCCACTGCTCATAGAAAGTTCAGGAATCGTTTGAAAGATCATTTTAACAAGTACGAGACAGAAGAGAGTGCACGCCGCAACCCACATCCTCGTGTACTTTACGAGGACTGGCAAATCATGTGCGATAGGTGGATGACAGACAAATTTCAGGTTAATATAGACTACCTAGTTACTTGTTTTTTTTTTAAATGTTTCTTTCTTTTCCTCATTTTTTTATTTTTTAAATTACATTGTAGGAAATTAGTGCTAGAAACAAAGAAAACAGGGGAAATGTAGAAATGTTACATTCTGCTGGGTCAAAGTCTTTTGCCAAAATTCATTATGAGTTGGTAATATATAACACAATACTTTATTTTTATTTGTGTATTTTGTTCTCATTCTATAACCATACCTTGTAATGTATTAAAAAAATAAAAAAATTACAGAAAGAAGCTGATGAAGATGATAAACATAGCGATGAAGACAATGAACATCATCTCGAAGGACCTGCCATCAAAATGTACAAGAAAACACATTACAAGGAAGATGGTGGATGGATTCATGATGATGCTCGCAAAACATATGTAAGTTATGATTTTTTTACCCCATAGAAATAATTGTCGGGTTTTAAGAACACTTTAATGTATATGTTTCAAAAGCAAAGAACTTTAATGTATCTGAGTTTACTTTATGTAGTCAATTCTATTTTTCTTTCTACTCTTTTTCCATCCATCCAATAACTTTAGGGGATTCAATATATATATATATATATATATATATATATATATATATATATATATATATCTTTACCCCAAATGGTAAGCTTGCAATTATGTGACTAAGAACACAAATAACATCATTTTTTCATATAATGCCTACAGTATTTATTTCTGGAGTCCGGTCTCATTATGTGAAAATCATCTTTTTCATGTGCTGGTGTGCTTAATTTGCTTATATGTGTTATGTTTCTTTTGTTGTTTGTTTCATTTTAAAGGAAGTGAGTTTGTTGAGATTACCTTATAAGATTTTGATTTTATTAGGTAATTGCCCGATGAAGACTTTTAACACTTGTATAATTATAGTTGCAACATTTCATGCTACTGTCCCCAACTTTTTGTATGGAGCACACTAAACAAATTATTATTGATGTCTTTCCAAATTAATCATGAACTTTGGGGATAATGCATGAATAATAGATCTTGAATATAGAGCTGTCATTGAGAAAAATATGTAGTAGAGTGAAAATATAATCTTCTCGCGTTTTGACAAGATAAACACAAAGGTTGTACTCTAAACCTAACCTTTGAACTTATTTTTTACTAATCTTACCTATTTTTCTTTATGCCTCTGTAGGATTATATATATATATATATATATATATATATATATATATGTTGTACCCAATGTTCCAGTTTTAAGGGTTTGTAAGGATTATAAATTATTGTTGCTAGTTGGTTGATTTGCTATATCTTGCTACTTGGAGATAAGCAAACAAAATTTCCCCCTCTAAAGCATGTGATTGTGATAAAGTTTCAGAATATCGAACAGTTAATGTGGCATTCCAAATGGAAATATTCTGGAACACAATTTTATTTCTGTAATATTGGCTGTTTCTTGTCAAATGTCCTATTTTTTGTGAAAGAATATTTGGTTGGAGTTGTTAAATGGCTGTTACTTAGTTGCTTGGATCATCTAGCTAGAACGGTGATTATCCATGTTACTAAGCTCCTTCAACTCTTACTTTTATATGCGCTGTTGGTTTTGCTTTTCTTTTATAATTGTTTTCGTCTTCTGGGTTTGGGAGGTATGTGATTGATTCTGTTTACGTACTCCAGACTGAATGACATGGTTGAGCTATGAGACAGCCTGGTATGCTGCGTGTACATTAGATTGTTTGCTAATTTGTGTGCCATTTCACTGGAATTCTCTTTTTGTGATGTTTTAATGGCCAAAAGTAATTATTTATTTTTTTTTTTTTTGCTTGAATGGGTTCTCTATGGAATCTTGATGTTGGTAATTCCTACGTACGTAAATGGAGCTTTTGTCTGCATAACTGAAAG